AGGGAGGGAGGGAGGGAAGGAACAGGCACTCATAAAAAGCATGACAAGGCGGACCCGAGACAAAGCAAGAAACAAAGTGTGACCAGGCTTCTCACCCCCGCTCTCCCACGCCACCCGACTTCCCCCATTTCCCCCCAATCCATGCCCACTTTCCCCCCATACCTCGTGCACGGTCCCACTGATTCCCTCCAGCCACTTCTCCTGGCTGTACCGTGTGGTGATCCGCACGTCCGTCGGGTGGCTGCCGCCGGTGAAGGGATGCACCGAAGTGTCGATCCGTCCTAAGGTGTAGTCAAAGCCCAACGCCTCGCTGACTTCCCGCGACAGCTGGGCTTGAATGTTCACGTCCCACTGGGGCCCACCCTGGAAGGCAGGGGGCCGGTCCTTGTCCTGCGTCTGGTACCTCGAAGAGGCCTGTTCCATGCCATGGGGGCAGCCAAAGAAAGAAGGAGGCAATCCATTACATTTTTGTACCCGCCGAGAAGTCCGGGGTCACCTTCTTTCTAGGCGGTGGGAGGGCGGTGACCACGACACGCTGCGGGCGCATGCATCCCCCCGCAGCCCCAGTGCCCCCAGGAATCCCCCAGGAAAATTTCGTCCCGCTCAGGTATGTTCCCCACCCCTCCCAGAATTTTCCTGACGACCCTTACCATGATCTGCTGCAAAAGCGGCACCAATTCGGTCTTGAGTGCCCCGAAGATCTCCGTCAGACGTCGGACGGTCATGCCCGGCTCGAACAAATCCAAATTTGCATCGTACGTGTCCCAGCCAGGCCGGGTCGCCGTTGCCACCTCCTTTTTCAACGCGACGATGTCCTGTAGCACGGGCAGGAAGCCGTGGTGGAAGTCGTCCTTCTCCCTCGCCGTTACCCAGGCCGCATAGCCTCGTCCCTCCAAGGCCGCTTCGCGCGCGGTCATCTCCTTGCTTTTCTTCTTCTGCAGCTCCCACTCCTTGTGGGCAAGGCGGACGTTGGCCCGGGCTTCGGGAGAAGGCAGAAGTTCTAGAACATTCGGTGAGGCCAGAACGGGCAGCAAGACGTCCAGGGAGGGATTGGTCTTCTTTTCGTGTAAGACGCCGGCCAAGGCAGCTTTGTGGAAA